CAAGTACGAGAACACATAGATACCGTGAATTATGTTTCATAGACAATACGTGCAACGTTTTTTTCAATGGATTGTGTCATTCATAAAGACATTGTCCCGTCAGCGTGACAAGAGTCGAAGTGACAAACATGCAGGGGAGGAGTGACAAACATGCAGGGGAGGGGGGGGGGGGGGGGGGGGGGGGGGAGAACCGCTCTCTCTCTCTCTCTCTCTCTATATATATATATATATATATATATATATACATCTTTGTTCATAGCTATGTATGTATTATATACATGTGTATATATATATGTATGTATGTATGAATGTATGTATGTGCGTTTGTATGTGTGTGCGTTATGCGGTCTTCGGTCCCGACATGTGCCAGGCCAGCATCCCAGTCCATGCTTGCCCTTGCATTTCCTTGGGCCAAAGAGCTGCAATGCACAATTTGAGAGATAACATCGTTCCGCCATTCACATGCCGTTGTGGCGCACGTTCGATATCTTTTCCACGCTTCAGACAGCCGTCGCGGCGTCGGGAATTCAAGAATGGGCTCTAAAACGTGTAGCGTGCCTATGCCTGTGCCTGCGAGGACTAGCATCGGCAACAAGACCCGTTTTGGTGTGGAGTTGGCAAACTCCTCCGAGCAGCTTGGAGGAACCAGCTCGTTTTTTGCCTTCCCCCGTCAAGCCCCGGTGGAAGCCATCATAGTTGAAGCAAGTCCAACAAACAAAGATGTTCGCGGTTCGTTGCTGGGCATTACGCAGCCCTGGCTTAACAGCTTGGTCGACACGACTTTCGAAACACACTCATGCGGTGCCTTCACGACTGACGTTTCAAACAGTCGGAAGATTCGAGGGAGACGCTTTACAAAACAAATCGCTACCTTGTAGCAGCATGGAAAAGGTGCAATGCTTCTCGGTAGCTTGACAGCTCTGCTTCCGAAAGCCGTGGCCTTGAACAGTTGTCCATGTTCTTTATATGTCTTAACAGGCACTTTGACATCACCACGCAGATGGGGACTGCTGGCAAGGAGAACAAGTGCTTTGAGAAGCACTTGGATGCTCGGTCAGGTGCTGGCAGCGTGGACTTGAGATGTGACTTGTTCATGCGATTTCATGCGTAGTGCCCAAACCTTGCATAACTCGGGCGACTGCTCGCTTGCAGCGACTTGAAGATGTCAGAAATTCAGTACGATTGCATGTTGGGACCTCATCCTGGAAACGTCATCCCGCTGACATGTCACACTTTTGACCTTTTTGCTGGACTAATCAGTTGTTGACCTCCGGGAGGCTATGTGTCTTCTGCTTCGGGGCATGACACTTGTCAGTGGCCGTTCGGGATCTATGCTTGCGGGTCAAGCCTGTGTTGCTCGGCTCAATGTGAGAGGGCTGCGTCCGCGACGTACAGCTGCAAGGCATGTCTGTCACGCCTGAAGGCTATGGTTACCAATGTGTCGGGCCGCACACTTTGTGTAAGCAAGTTTGGAAGCTTAAAGCCTCACAGAGCCACTTCTGTTGTGCTCCGCTATAGTGATCCATAGAGCCGGGCCCACACGGGCCCTCCCCCAACCCCACCCCATTGCCGGTCATTGCCCCATCGTATTGTTTACGTTTCTTCGACAAGCCCGCGCGATAGGGCGGGGGCCCACATGGCCGCCGCTGTTTCATTTCACGCATCTGTGAAGAAGGGCGTGATTCATCGTGTTGCATCTGGACATTGTGCTATTTCGGAGGCGGTGCTTGTCATTCTAATGGCCGGCAGGAAGGCATACTGGGAGCATGAGAGACTTTCAACCTTGAGTCATATGAGCCATCGGGCTGTGAGGAAGAGCCGAAGCTGCTTTTCCGGACATGCACTTTTGAGGTTTTAACGTTAAGATTTGCAACCCGTAACGCACAGTCGGAGAAGGTTCAGACGCATTTTGGACGTCAGCACCTGAGGCGGCCATGTGCGCACCGACAATCCAATGCTGGAATTGCTGGGGTTGGCTGCAGCTGTGCCAATGCAGCCCCCCGACCTCGCAGGCGAGACAAGCAAGACAAGGCGGGAGAGCAAACTGAATGCGCTGATTCGTGAGTGTGGCGTGCAGGCGTGTGTGGAGTGCGCGAGTCTGTGGCTAGCGCGAGTGAGTGGGGTGCGCAAGTCTGTGGTGCGCGCATGCTCTTGTGTGTGTGTGTGTGTGTGTGTGTGTGCGTGTGTGCGTGCGTGCGTGCGTGCGTGCGTGCGTGCGTGCGTGCGTGCGTGCGTGCGTGTGTGCGTGTGTGCGCATGTCTCCGAGTGTGTGTGGGTGCGTGGGTGTGTGGGTGCGTGGGTGTTCGTGGGTGTGTGTGTGTGTGTGTGTGTGTGTTTGATTGTGTTTGTGTTGCGGTGTTTGTGTATTTGTTTGTATGTGTGCTTTGTTTGTTTGCTTGCTTGCTTACCTGCTTGTTTTTTATGTATGTATTTGTTTCGTTGTTTCTGTGGTTCTCCCTTTCTTTGTTTCTTTCTTTCTTTGTTTCTTTCTTTCTTTCTTTCTTCTTTGTTTGTTTCTTTGCGTTTTTGTGTGATTGTTGCTTTGTGTCTTTGTGTCTTTGAGTCTTTGTTTCTTGTTTTTTGTTTTTTATTCGCTTCTTCGTTTCTTCGTTTCTTTGTTTCTTTGTTTATTTCTTTGTTTCTTTGTCTCTGTGTGTCTTGTTTCTTTGTTTCTTTGGTCTTTGTTAGTGTGTCTGTTTGTTTGTTTGTGTTGTTTGTTTGCGCTGTTTGTGTTGTTTGTGTTGTTTGTGTTGTTTGTTTTGTTTGTTTTGTTTGTTTTGTTTGTGTTGTTTGTTTTGTTTGTTTTGTTTGTTTGTTTGTTTTGGTTGTTTTGTTTGTTTTGTTTGTTTTGTTTGTGTCGTTTGTTTTGTTTGTTTTGTTTGTTTGGTTTGCTTTGTTTGTTTTGTTTGTTTTGTTTGTTTTGTTTGTTTTGTTTGTTTTGTTTGTTTTGTTTGTTTTGTTTGTTTTGTTTGTTTTGTTTGTTTTGTTTGTTTTGTTTGTTTTGTTTGTTTTGTTTGTTTTGTTTGTTTTGTTTGTTTTGTTTGTTTTGTTTGTTTTGTTTGTTTTGTTTGTTTTGTTTGTTTTGTTTGCTTTGTTTGTTTTGTTTGTTTTGTTTGTTTTGTTTGTTTTGTTTGTTTTGGTTGTTTTGCTTGTTTTGCTTGTTTTGCTTGTTTTGCTTGCTTTGCTTGTTTTGCTTGTTTTGCTTGTGTTGTTTGTGTTGTTTGTGTTGTGTGTGTTGTGTGTGTGTTGTGTGTGTTGTTTGTGTTGTTTGTTTGTTTTTTGTTGTTGTTTTTTTTTTTTTTTTGCTTTTTGTTTTTTGTTTGTGCGTTTGCGTTTGCGTTTACGTTTGTGTTTGTGTTTGCGTTTGTGTTTGTGTTTGTTTGTGTTTGTGTTTGTGTTTGTTTGTGTGCTCGTGTTTGTGTGTTTGTTTGCTTGCTTGCTGGCGTTTTTGCTTGGTTGCTTGTTTGTTTGTTTGTGTGCGTCCTTGTGCTTGTGCGTGCTTGTGCGTGCTTGTGCGTGCTTGTGCGTTTATTTGTTGGATTGCTTCTTTCTTTGTTTGTTTGTTTGTTTGCTTGTTTTTTGTTTATTCGTTCGTTTGTTTTTGTGTGTGTATGTGTGCGCACGTGTGTGTGTGTGTGTGTGTGCGCATTGTGTCTTTGTTTGTCTTGCTGCTCAGGCCCCCCCGCGACCTTAACTGAGCTTTAGTTTCTGGAGGATCGATCCGTCTTGCCGCGCATGCGCGTGCTCTGCCTGTGCGTGTGCGTGTGCCTGTGCATGTGCATGTGCATGTGCGCGTGCTCTTTCGCATGCGTGCATGCGCCCGCGCGTGTCTGGGTGCATTGTTTGTGTCTGGGTCTGTATTTGCGCCTCCGTGCCAGTGTTCACGTGCATGTGTGTGCATCTAGAGTCTGGATTCGAAGGGACACCCCGCCTCGGCGCTTCGCCAGCTCTTCGGGTGATGCTGCAGTGGCATCCACCACTTCCGGCTTTTTAATTTGAGCAGCTGTACGCATCTTTCGCGTGAAGATACCTTCATGGGCCCTGCAGAGGACACGGTGCAGCATGGTGCCAAGTCTGCCACGAATCAACAGGTTATAAGTTGCTCAACAAGCGTCAGCAATCCCTTTGTTATGTTGTTGTCCGCTCCTTCACCATTTGCCAGCTCGGCAGGGTTCAAGAAGGGATACTATCTCTCAATGTCTAGATGCGGCCGGCAAGATGGCCCTCAAGGGGCCTGCTTGAAGTACTTTGAAGCCTGAAGGCTTCCCATTCCCGGCTGCGTAGACGTAGCAAGCCTCAGCTCGAGAACGCTTCGGCACTTTTGGTCAAGCACCCTGTTGAAGGGGAAGTTCCGGAAGCGGGGGAGCCGCGCCTAAGGATCCCGCAGCAGATGTAGGATGTTTTGTGTAGGGGCGTTAGGCTTATACTCAAGCAACTCAAGTATACTCCCCATCCTGGTAATGTTCGCATGTCGGAGTTTTCTGTGAGCCCGCGTTTGCCATGTACAGGTTTTTGGAATCTCGCAGCGTACATAACCTCACGCTGCAGAGTCCAGTAGTTTTGAGCACGCTGGCACATTGTGGAGTCGCCACACACGCCAGAGGGCCATAACCCCCCCCCAAGAACAAGGTGCGGATGGATAGATTTTGACCCATCCATCCAAGTTCGAAATCACTTGTTCTCACGTGAGGGCACCATGCGTATGTACAGTGCATCCTGTCAGCTGGTCCGCTCAGACGCAGAAAAAAATGGGGGGTTCTCGCAGAGGCTAAGAGCTTGCAATTAGGATGCGGCTGGAACAGTGTAGTTGGTGAGCTCAGTTTTCGAGGGATCTTGTGACACGTTAGTTCCAAGCATGCGGCTGCGACAGACCAACAGTTTTCTAGAAGCGCAGATCATCTTTATACGGCCCACTCTATATAGGATCCTTACTTACATGCGATGCAGTTTCTGCTTTGCAGCTTACAGTCCTGAAAAGTAGCTACGTCAAGTTCGCTGCCATGCTGCCAGTTCTAGCAGCTCTGATTGCTGTGGCCGGAGCCAAGGCCACTCTGAGCAGTGGCACGCAGTCGCGCTTGCTGCAAGGTACCCTTGGCAACGGCTCCAATTGGACGGAGATGGTGAGCTTCAACAACACTCCGGGCAAGCGCTTGCTGCAAGGTGCCTTGGGCAACGGCTCCAACTGGACGGAGATGGTGAGCTTCAACAACACTCCGGGCAAGCGCTTGCTGCAAGGTACCCTGGGCAACGGCTCCAACTGGACGGAGATGGTGAGCTTCAACAACACTCCGGGCAAGCGCTTGCTGCAAGGTGCCTTGGGCAACGGCTCCAACTGGACGGAGATGGTGAGCTTCAACAACACTCCGGGCAAGCGCTTGCTGCAAGGTACCCTGGGCAACGGCTCCAACTGGACGGAGATGGTGAGCTTCAACAACACTCCGGGCAAGCGCTTGCTGCAAGGCTTGGGCAACGGCTCCAACTGGACGTGAGACTGGTGCAACAAGCTCCAACTGGACAGACCGGGCAAGCGCTTGCTGCAAGGTACCTTGGGCAACAGCTCCAACTGGACGGAGATGGTGAGCTTCAACAACACTCCGGGCAAGCGCTTGCTGCAAGGTGCCTTGGCAACAGCTCCAACTGGACGGAGATGGTGAGCTTCAACAACACTCCGGGCAAGCGCTTGCTTCAAGGTGGGCAACAGCTCCAACTGGACGGAGATGGTGAGCTTCAACAACACTCCGGGCAAGCGCTTGCTGCAAGGTGCCTTGGGCAACGGCTCCAACTGGACGGAGATGGTGAGCTTCAACAACACTCCGGGCAAGCGCTTGCTGCAAGGTGCCTTGGGCAACGGCTCCAACTGGACGGAGATGGTGAGCTTCAACAACACTCCGGGCAAGCGCTTGCTGCAAGGTGCCTTGGGCAACGGCTCCAACTGGACGGAGATGGTGAGCTTCAACAACACTCCGGGCAAGCGCTTGCTGCAAGGTACCTTGGGCAACAGCTCCAACTGGACGGAGATGGTGAGCTTCAACAACACTCCGGGCAAGCGCTTGCTGCAAGGTGCCTTGGTCAACAACTCCAACTGGACGGAGATGGTGAGCTTCAACAACACTCCGGGCCAGCGCTTGCTTCAAGGTGCCTTGGCAACAGCTCCAACTGGACGGAGATGGTGAGCTTCAACAACACTCCGGGCAAGCGCTTGCTGCAAGGTGCCCTGGGCAACGGCTCCAACTGGACGGAGATGGTGAGCTTCAACAACACTCCGGGCAAGCGCTTGCTGCAAGGTACCCTGGGCAACGGCTCCAACTGGACGGAGATGGTGAGCTTCAACAACACTCCGGGCAAGCGCTTGCTGCAAGGTACCCTGGGCAACGGCTCCAACTGGACGGAGATGGTGAGCTTCAACAACACTCCGGGCAAGCGCTTGCTGCAAGGTACCCTGGGCAACGGCTCCAATTGGACGGAGATGTTGAGCTTCAACAACACTCCGGGCAAACGCTTGCTGCAAGGTACCCTGGGCAACAGCTCCAATTGGACGGAGATGTTGAGCTTCAACAACACTCCAGGCAAACGCTTGCTGCAAGGTACCCTGGGCAACAGCTCCAATTGGACGGAGATGGTGAGCTTCAACAACACTCCGGGCAAGCGCTTGCTGCAAGGTAGCCTGGGCAACAGCTCCAACTGGACGGAGATGTTGAGCTTCAACAACACTCCGGCCAAACGCTTGCTGCAAGGTACCCTGGGCAACAGCTCCAATTGGACGGAGATGGTGGGCTTCAACAACACTCCGGGCAAGCGCTTGCTGCAAGGTACCCTGGGCAACGGCTCCAATTGGACGGAGATGTTGAGCTTCAACAACACTCCGGGCAAGCGCTTGCTGCAAGGTACCCTGGGCAACAGCTCCAATTGGACGGAGATGGTGAACTTCAACAACACTCCTGGCCAGCGCTTGCTGCAAGGTGCCTTGGTCAACGGCTCCAACTGGACGGAGATGGTGGCCTTCAACAACACTCCGGGCAAGCGCTTGCTGCAAGGTGCCTTGGTCAACAGCTCCAACTGGACGGAGATGGTGAGCTTCAACAACACTCCTGGCCAGCGCTTGCTTCAAGGTACCTTGGTCAACAGCTCCAACTGGACGAAGATGGTGAGCTTCAACAACACTCCTGGCCAGCGCTTGCTTCAAGGTACCTTGGTCAACAGCTCCAACTGGACGGAGATGGTGGGCTTCAACAACACTCCGGGCAAGCGCTTGCTGCAAGGTGCCTTGGTCAACAGCTCCAACTGGACGGAGATGGTGAGCTTCAACAACACTCCGGGCAAGCGCTTGCTTCAAGGTGCCTTGGTCAACAGCTCCAATTGGACGGAGATGGTGAGCTTCAACAACACTCCGGGCAAGCGCTTGCTTCAAGGTGCCTTGGTCAACAGCTCCAACTGGACGGAGATGGTGGGCTTCAACAACACTCCGGGCAAGCGCTTGCTGCAAGGTGCGTTGGTCAACAGCTCCAACTGGACGGAGATGGTGAGCTTCAACAACACTCCTGACCAGCGCTTGCTTCAAGGTGGCTTGGTCAACAGCTCCAACTGGACGGAGATGGTGGGCTTCAACAACACTCCAGGCAAGCGCTTGCTGCAAGGTGGCTTGGTCAACAGCTCCAACTGGACGGAGATGGTGGGCTTCAACAACACTCCGGGCAAGCGCTTGCTGCAAGGTGCCTCGGTCAACAGCTCCAACTGGACGGAGATGGTGGGCTTCAACAACACTCCGGGCAAGCGCTTGCTTCAAGGTGCCCTGGTCAACAGCTCCAACTGGACGGAGATGGTGAGCTTCAACAACACTCCGGGCAAGCGCTTGCTTCAAGGTGCCCTGGGCAACAGCTCCAACTGGACGGAGATGGTGAGCTTCAACAACACTCCGGGCAAGCGCTTGCTTCAAGGTGCCTTGGTCAACAGCTCCAACTGGACGGAGATGGTGAGCTTCAACAACACTCCGGGCAAGCGCTTGCTGCAAGGTGCCTTGGTCAACAGCTCCAACTGGACGGAGATGGTGAGCTTCAACAACACTCCGGGCCAGCGCTTGCTTCAAGGTGTCCTGGTCAACAGCTCCAACTGGACGGAGATGGTTGGCTTCAACAACACTCCGGGCAAGCGCTTGCTGCAAGGTGCCTTGGTCAACAGCTCCAACTGGACGGAGATGGTGAGCTTCAACAACACTCCGGGCCAGCGCTTGCTTCAAGGTGCCTTGGTCAACAGCTCCAACTGGACGGAGATGGTGGGCTTCAACAACACTCCGGGCAAGCGCTTGCTGCAAGGTGCCCTGGGCAACAGCTCCAACTGGACAGAGATGGTGAGCTTCAACAACACTCCGGGCAAGCGCTTGCTGCAAGGTACCTTGGGCAATGGCTCCAACTGGACGGAGATGGTGATCTTCAACAACACTCCGGGCAAGCGCTTGCTGCAAGGTTCCTTGGTCAACAGCTCCAACTGGACGGAGATGGTGAGCTTCAACAACACTCCGGGCAAGCGCTTGCTGCAAGGTACCCTGGGCAACAGCTCCAACTGGACGGAGATGGTGAGCTTCAACAACACTCCGGGCAAGCGCTTGCTGCAAGGTACCTTGGTCAACAGTTCCAACTGGACGGTGGTGAGCTTCAACAACACTCCGGGCAAGCGCTTGCTGCAAGGTGCCCTGGGCAACAGCTCCAACTGGACGGAGATGGTGAGCTTCAACAACACTCCGGGCAAGCGCTTGCTGCAAGGTACCCTGGGCAACAGCTCCAACTGGACGGAGATGGCGGGCTTCAACAACACTCCGGGCAAGCGCTTGCTGCAAGGTGCCCTGGGCAACAGTTCCAACTGGACGGAGATGGTGAGCTTCAACAACACTCCGGGCAAGCGCTTGCTGCAAGGTGCCTTGGTCAACGGCTCCAACTTGACGGAGATGGTCAGCCTCAACAACACTCTGGGCAAGAGCTCCCGCCTGGCGCAGCATGCTGAAGGTCGATTCCTTCAGCGCCGGGAAGGGAACACTGAGTCGTTGCCTTTTCGGGTTCTTCGTAGCCTCGGGCTGATGTGAGCATTGTGCGGATCTCGCGTCATCTCTCGGTCTGTGCAGCGTCCATACTTCATCGTTGCCACAGCGAGCGAAGACGAACACAGGGACTTTTCGCCTAATTCACACGTTTTGGCAGCATTTTGCAGCGTACATACACTTACGCTTTGCGCCGCCTAGATGCTGACTGATGACAATTTTGCCAATGTCGCCTGCTGGCGTTGTGGGCTTTAAAGAGGACGACCGAACAGAGCTAGACCTCGAGCAGCTTGCCCTCTTGCACCACGCCAAAGCGAGATTGAGTGTGTACAGCAGATGCTTTTCCAGCGCATTTGCACGTGCTGGAGCAAAAGACGCGAGCAAGAATTGCACGACGCCGATAGCACAGCTCCAAAGTAATCTGGCTGAGAACCACATGTTCGAACCATGCATATGTATAATAATGTACATATGTACTTATTTGTGTGTTTTTTTGGTTTGGCCGCGGATCACGATCCTGGAAGGTCCTTCGGTCCTGCAGATGAGCACCGGCTTCGCCCGGACATAGCATTCTTGCTCTTCCTCGTGGTGAGGATGTACACCACTAGGCGTAAATCAGGCCCGTGGATCGTGTCTGCACATGGGGTCGTGCGAAAGGAGGCTTCGTGAGGGCATCATGTCAAGCCTGAATGCTCTGGCGTGTGGGAAAGTGCCCGGCCTGGGAAGCAAATTCATGTCTGTTTGTCGGAACAGTTGTTAGGAAGCGAATGATTTCGAGCAGCAGGACGGGTTTTTGCTCAAGGTGAAAACAAGCAGCTCTTGCTCCTCTCTAGGATCCCCCGCTCGTTTGGTTCGTCCACTTGGCCCCGGGATGCTGGGAAGCCTCCAAACCTACATGCCTTCCTCATGAAGAGGACACCAGTATCAGTACCATCACTTTGAGGCTCGAAAAACAGGAGAGAATCTCACTTC